TGGGGTTGTGGGGTTGCTTGATGGACAGTGTGGACTCCCGTCTTTGAATGCTCTGTGCAGGGAAACTGAAGGATAGGATAGGATCCCACCCCTGCCTTCGCCCCAGCCCTGCTTAGACAGGGACTGGAGAGGGAAGGTGGAACAGGGAGTCTTCCTTCAGGCTGTCCCGTTGTGGCGTGGGGGAAGCTGAGGTGACATTGCAGTGAGGGCCAACACGTGTGGGGCTGCTCCCCATCTCCCTCTCTTCCGCTCCCAGCCCCTGCCCAGCCACCCAGCCACCTGGTCCTCCCCAGCATGGCAGCTTTCACTTTCAGGTGCCAGCAGCAAGGGACCCCACCTATCTTCAGCCTCTCCATTCCGGGGGAACGTCTAAGGAAATGGCAGGTCTGGGTCTCCATTTCCTGGGGTCGCTAGTTCTGGGCACAGAGCCAGAGTCCCTTCCCCCTGGGCAGGAGCTTTGGCTTGCCCAACTCTCCCCTCTCCAGCGCTGGCCTTCAGTCTCCGGATACATGGCGCAGGTCCTACAACTGATGACCCCGAACTGTCCCCTCTTGCTGCCTGTGATCCTGTGGTTAGCTCTGCACCCTCCCTCCCGCCTGTGGTCAGTGGCTTCCTGTTTCTACCCATTTAGTCCCTCAGTCCCCTGGGTGGGGGGTGCAGCAGTCGCAGGAGGATCTTCCTGGAATCATGCTGTGGCACCTTGGGCCTCCCCCTTGCCCAGTACATGCCCTTGTAGGGGCAGGAAGTACCAGTCCCCAGGAAGGTGCCGCTATAACAGAGGGAGGGGCCAGGCCAGTGCTCAGCTGCCCAGTGTAGTACCAGGATGGCCTCTGGTGTATATTAATGGGGAGGGCAGTTCAGAGAGATTGGGGAGCAGAGGAGGAGTAGTTAGGAGACCAGCTCTGCCTGATGTCATGTTGGTCCAGTGGGCTCTAGGCTGTGCTTCAGGGGAGGGAAAGGCAGGGACAGGGACATGGCTAGGGTCCAGCCAAGGGCTGTGGCTGTGGCTCTGGAAGAGGTCTAGGCTCGTAGGCTGGCTGGGTTCCACCTGTAGCAAAAGCAGGAAGGCCTGGGGAAATATTGAGGGAAGATGAATGGGAAACCTGCCTGTAGAGGGTGGCTAGGGAAGGAATGGGCCCCTTAGGGATCCTGTTGGGCTGGGAGGGGAACAGTCTGTAGCACTTTGTCACATGGCCTAAAACCGGCCCTTTGACTTTCAGCTTTCTGAATTTGCAAGTGAGAGAGTCACACCTTTCTCCCTGAGCAACCTCCTCCTAGGGTGGGGCTCGGGCAGGAGAGGGCCCTGCATGAGGCTTGAGGCTGTGATGGGTCACATGCTGTCCTTGGGAACAAACCAAGGGGCCCTAGAGTCTAGGGTTCACTAATGGGCCTCTGTGCTTCCTTGTGGCAATTTAGCAGGCCCAGTCTTGATGTGCAAGATGGAGTGGGAGGGGCTGTGAGTCTCCTTCTTTAGGCCAGGACAGTAGCAATTTCATATATGATAGTTCCGCTAGTGATCTATATATAATGCTGGGTGTGTTGGTTCACTTCTGTAAATCCAAGACTCAGGTGGTTTGAGATCAGTCTGGCAAACATCAAATTCCAGGCCAGCTGGGGTTGCTTATATTGGAAGATCTGTCTCAAAATAAACAAAACAACAAAAATAAAAAAAAAAGGAAAATCAAGTCTGTCTATGTTATATTTAAAACCACAAAGGGCATCTTGCCTGCCCACTGTTTTTTCACTTTTAAAACTATTATTTTTGAAATGTGTATGTGTTTGTGAGTATGTATATGCTTGTATGTATGAGTGTGGGTGCAACATATGTGTGGAGGTTTAGAGAGAGCCTCGGATGCCATCCTTTCCTTCCACTGTGTTTGAGGTTTAGAGAGAGCCTCGGATGCCATCCTCTCCTTCCACCGTGTTTGAGGTTTAGAGAGAGCCTCGGATGCCATCCTTTCCTTCCACTGTGTTTGAGGTTTAGAGAGAGCCTCGGATGCCATCCTCTCCTTCCACCGTGTTTGAGGTTTAGAGAGAGCCTCGGATGCCATCCTCTCCTTCCACCGTGTTTGAGATAGGGTCTTTTCATTGTTCACTACTGTGTGTACCAGGCTAGCTCCTAGGAATTTTCCTGTCTCTGTCCCCCATCTTGCTCAGCAGTGCTGGGGTTACAGATGCGTGCTGCTGCTACACTTAGCTTTACAAGGGTTCTGGGGATTTGAACTCAGGTCCTCACGCTTATGTGATAAACGCTTTACCCGCTGAGCTTTCTTCCCCAACCCTCTTTGTTTTTGAGACCAGGTAGCTGAGCCTGGACTCTAGGTCAAGCTGGCTTCCAACTCTTCATTCTCTTGACTCAGGAGAGTACTTGGCTGGCCAGCATGCCCAGCCCTGAACTCAGTTTTAGTGATTTAAAAATACACACATCATGGTTGGAGATGTAGCTCTCTTGGTAGAATATTTGCCTAGCATGCTTGAGGTCCTGGGTATCTTCAGCTCTCTGTAAAATGGGTATCGTGGGGTATGGCTGTAATTGAACACTTAGGTGGTAGAGACAGGATTTGAAGTTCAAGGCTACATAGTGAGTTTGAGGCAAGCCTAGGAAAGAAAAGAAACTTGTCATCTCCTGTCTCTCCCTTGCCTTCCTCCTAAAGGAGATCAAACCAAAGGCCCCAGTGTGCCAAGTCAGTGCCCTACCACTGAGCTCATCCTCAGTCCCCGTTCTAATAGTAGAAGTGATAACACAATTTTAAAACCTTAACCAACACAGACATGAGATTTATGGACAGTCTTTCAAGATGGCGATGGGAGGGTTGGGGGTGTCGCTCAGTGGTAGAGCATTTGTCTAGCACGTGCAGATTCCTGGGTTGAAATCCCAGCAGTACACACATGTGCACACATACACAGAGATGGGGGTGGGAGTTGATTGTGACCAGGGATTGCTTACTGTTCTTTTGTCATTAGCATTCCCTGGTCACTAATAAAACTGTGGGTTAGCATTTTAGTAGGGTGATGCTATAAGAAGATTGTTTAAAATGTGCCTTTTGCCAGCTCCTCTGTGTATGAATGCCCCATCTGTGTACTGTCTGAGGATTCCTGGTGGAGGGGCAGGTGATAGCCAGGAGGGAGAGGGCTGATTCCCCTCCTGCAGCTGAGCTGCATCCTGGTGAGGGGACCTGGGGGAAGAGGCACCTTTTTCTGATTTGTGTAAGGGTCCCACCTGGTTTAGGGACAGCAATCACTTATTTTATGGGGAGCTGGAGAGGTCTGTGGGGTGGAGTGTGGGGTACCTGGGGTCGACGATGGGGGGGGGGGATGAGTTCCATGTAGCAGAGGTGTCTGGAACAAAGCTCCTCAGAGAACATCGTTGGAGCTGGGGTGACAGACTCATTGGTGACTCAGAAACCTAAGAACGTTAGGTACTGTGGGTCTTTACTAGAACCTGGCTACAAACCCAAATGTCGAGTCCAGTCAGGACCAGTCATGGTCTTAGGACTATGGATAGGAAGTGACTGCCTTAACTGAGGGGGCGTGAGCAGAAGATGAAAGTCTGACCTATGCTGCGCACGAGGTGACATGGTGTGTCACAATCATTTGGGTTCCCAGCTCTGGGCAGGGGCAGAGACCTCCACTTCGTTGAGGGGAAATTGTGGCCCAGGATGGACTGGGATAGACATAGTATTTAGGGCAGGCAGCAGAGCAAACTTGGAATTAGATTTGCCTTGCATCCCTGGTGGGGATAAGGGGGACAGGTTTGGAGCCCCCTGGTAGGCACAGCTATACTCAGGACCCCCACCCACCCAAGCCCAGATGGGCTTGACAAGATGTTCTTGGAGCCAGGGAGAGTCAGCAGGGCAGACACAGTTGGGAGGAGAGCAGGAAGTCCCCCATCATGAGACCTGCATGCCAAAGCCTGCGGTTCCTGAGAGGCAGGGACTACCTTCTTGGTCCAAGGGTTCACTTTACTGTGCTCCCCCCACACCACCACACCTTGCTGCCTTGGCTCAGAGGGAGTTAGCTTGGCAATAATGGGGGTCACTTCTGCACCCTCTGAGCTGGGAGCCCAGCCCCCCACCTAGTTCCTCATAGCTACAGGAAGTATCTCCAAGGCTTCTTGCCTGCTAGTGGAAGCTCACAGTCCTGCAGACACCCAGGAGATCAGCTGGTGCCTAGGAGGGTGGCCATGCTGTAGGTATTGCCTCGATACTGGACCATGCATGGGTGGGTTGGGTGTTAGGTATGTCAGGGTTTTAGGGAAGTTGTATGGAATTCTGGGTTGTGTGTGGTTCTGGGGCAGCAGTGTGTGGCTCTGGGGCAGCAGTGTGGGGTTCTGGGGCACTTATGTGGGGTTCTGGGGCAGTTGTGTGTACTTGAGTTGTTGATATGAGCAGGGGTCCTACAGGCAGAAGGGTAGCAACTACTGGGTGAGCAGGAGGCCTTAGGCCTGGGAGGTAGGGAGGCAGGCTAAGGCGTGCTTGTGTGGTGCTGAGGTGGTATAGTGTGTAGATCCAGGTGGGTGGGCGGTTGTGGTTCCTATGGAGGGTTTCTTGAGGGCTGGACATTCAGGGGCCACTGTCCATCTGCATGGTTTGGGAAACCTGGCGTCTTGGGGCAAGGGTGGGACTGTGCCTAGGAGTGAGGGAAGGAGATCTAGGGCCACAGGTAGGCCTGGGGTTGCTTTACCTTTCCCCTCTCTCCAGGGCTGGAACCTGGAGCAGAGTCCTGTGTAAGAGCTTAAAACAAGGCAGGCCACCTGGCCATGGGGCCTCCAGAGCTCGGAGTGGGAGGAGCCAGGACCTTTAAGGTTGCTCTGGCTGTCTGAGTCACTCTTGCAAATCAAAATGCAAAACCGAGGGGAGGCCACCAGAGACACACCCACGGGGCCAGCAGGCTCACAAGTGGCCCAGCAAGCTGCTGCTGCCCAAACCTCTGGGGTGCCTCTTTTCCTTCCCTGGGGGCTGTCTCATCTCCTTGGTCCTTTTCTGCATTGGGCCTTGTACATTCAGTTCCCTTTGCATGGAACAGTGTCCTTCCTGTCTCCACCCGGCGAGGCCCAGTGGAGGAGGGCTCTGGAAGCCTTCCTGCTTGCTTCACAGAGGCAGCCGGTTCTCCAAAGGCTCTGTGGGCTACAGCAGGGAACTTGGGTAAGTGTCCACCTTACCCATACAACCCCAGGTCTCGGGATCATTGTAAGGGCTAAGGGGACAGAGATGGGAATCTGGGAGGGGCTGGGCTGACGGTGGCGCTTGGGAGAGGGAAAGAAGTCAGGGCTGTGAGCTCCCTGGCTGGGCTGGTGAAGTTGGTGTCACTAGTCATAATGGGTAGACACACCAAGGAAGAGATGTTGAGCGGGGCCAGAAATGGACAGTGAACTCAAACTCCAACTTGGGATTGGGCTGACAAGGTCATTAAAAGGGTCAAAGCTTTGACTTCAGCAAGAGGGAGTGAAGCCAGATTTGAGGAAGGACTGGCTGGCAAGTATTAAAGACTCAGACGATTCTTTCTTCTGAAGTGGGGCTAGATTTCCTGAGCTCCACTGTGGATGGTGGGGTTGGGAAGAGGGGCAGACTGGGCCACCACAGAAGATGCTGAAAGTGAGATACAGGCAGACCCTCACAGTGCAACCAAGGACAGCAGGCAGAAGTATGGCGGCCAACGGGCAGTTTTGGAGGACTCTATGGAGGAGGTGACCTGGAGGGGGGCCAGGGTGGCTGATGTACTCATTGTCAGCCGACTGTTTTGGGGGCTCCGCTATTTCAGGCTTGGGCTGATGTAGGAAATGACACAGGAGTTGTGGATGGGGCCTGAGCTTGAGGTATGTCACTGAGCATTTGGGCAAGTCACTTCCTCTCTGTGGTGTTGTTTCTTCATCCATAAGTGGCAGGCCGACTGCAGCGAATGACAGGCCTGAGGAGCGCTGCAGGGCACAGTGAGCCCCGTCTTCTGTGGCAGGTGGCAGGTCTAGTGAGCCACATTGAAGGGAAGAGCTAACGTGGGACCGGGAGACTCTGCAAGCCTGGCTGGGTCTAGGGGTGTGGTGTGGACCCCTCCCCTGTGGTTACGCTTCCTTGGCAGGGTCTCTGGTTCCCAGAGAGTGAGAACAGAGTAGGAGGGCTGGGTGCTGAAGAGCTCTACCATCGAAGCACATAATATTTTGGTGCCATTTAAAGAATGAAAACCCATGTCAAAAATCCATGATGAACAAAACATAAAATACCATGATTTTCGATAAAGAAAGTACTTTCTGTGTCCAGCAGTGACTATTGCAGACTTCTGTCATGGACAGCCACCCCTGGGGAGCTACCCTGACCTAGCCTGGTGAGGGCCCTAGGCTGACATTCCTGGGTGGCAGTGTCCTGCTTGAGGTTCCTGGAGGCCTCTGGGTTATGCTTCCAGCTCCTTGAATAGCGCTGTCCCCAAGGCTATCAGCATCCAGTCCCCAGATCTCTGACCTTAGCCAGTGCCCTTTAGTGAAGGAATAGGAACTTGAGAGAGGCCAGACTCTTCTCAGAGAGAGCAGTGGGTTCCTGTTTCCCAGCCCTAGCCTGTCCAGCAATGAGTTAGGACCATCACCATTCCTCAGTCGGCTGACCTCAGTAGGCACTTGACCTTTGCTTAGGCAACTCTTAGAGAAGCAGCGAGCAGCATGGTTAAGAGAAGAGTGGAGAACCTGGCTGAGGGTGGAGAGCATGATTAAAGACGGAGAGCACGACTAACGATGGAGAGCATGGGTGAGAGGGCAGAGCTGCCTTGTCCAATAGATAGCGCAAGAGCAGGCTGGGAATATGGTTCCATGCTGAAAATGCTTGCTATGCAAGCCTAGTGACCTGAATTGAGAGCTGCAGAACCCAGGTAAAAACTCGGTCACATGGCTCAGCGAGTCAAGGTTCCTGCCCTCCAGTTGATGGTCTGAATTCAGGTTGCACACGGTGGAAGGAGAGAGCAGACACTTGCAAGTTGTTCTCTGAGTATGTGCACGCACGCACACACACGTGTGTATGCACATAAATACAACAAACAAACAAACCTACATGCAGTAGTGCACGTGTTTGTGCTGCCATGTCCCACCTGCGGGTGGGAGATGGAGACAGGAGACTCTGCAGAAGTTTGTGGAGAGTGGCAGATACAGTAGGCTCAGCTGCTGGCCTGGGGCGCAGTGGGGAACTATGAGAGAGGCTGTCCCAAGGTGATAGGTAGGTAAGGATACATGCCCAGGACTGCCCTCTTATCCAACACATGCATCATGGCATGCGTGTGCACATGCTCACACATGCGCATGCACTCACAGCATCACATACGTGCATGAGTGCATTGGCGCACTTCTGTCATCCCAGAACTCAGGAGCTCAGTGGTAGAGGCTTTGCCTAACATGTGCACAGGCCTGGCTTTGATCCCAGGCAGAACAAAACAAATAAGAACAATGCATTTTAGCATTTTTATTTTTTGAACGAGTGTTTTGCTGGCATGTGTGTATGCGTACTCCATGCGTGCCTGGTGCCTGAGGAGCCCAGAAGAGGGCATTGAGTCCTTGGCACTGGAGCTGGCAGGTGCCTGTGAGTCACCATCTGGGTGCTGGAAACTGAACCCAGGTCCTTTGTAAGAGCAGCAAGTGCTCTTAACAGCCAAGCCACCTATCTAGCCCCTGTTTTTAAATTTCTAAATGTCATTGTCGTCATCATCCTCGTCCTCATCACAGTCAGGTTGTTCTATAGCCCAGGCTGGCGTTAAACTCACTGTGTACCCAAAGCCAGTGAATACTTGATCCTCCCGCCTCTACTTCCCATGTGCTAGGAGTCTAGGTGTTTGCTACCATTTCCGGCTTCATGTTGCTTCATTAGTATTTAAACCTAAGTATGCAATATCCAATGATTACTTTTCATCATGTAATCAATAGCAAGACATTGAGATATTTTACGTTGTTTTTTTCTTTCACTCTCTTCAAAATGCCCTATGTTCAGAATTCAGTGTTCTTCATTTTGGGGGCCATGTTTCAAATATTCAAAGCCATATATGGCTGTGCCAGCTGCTGTGTTGGACAGGGGAGGCTAGATATGTCGAGACTATGACTTAGGCAAGTCCCTCAACTTCCTTGTACTCTTTTTCATCTTAAACTCTCTAGAGATTATTAGAGGGTTGAGGAGTATTACATGAATTAAAGTGTACAGGCACTAGGCATAATGCAAACGATGATTGTCTTTTTTTTTTCCCCCTTTGGGCAGGGTTTCTCTGTGTAGCCCTGGCTGTCCTGGAACTCCCTTTGTAGACCAGGCTGGCCTAGAACTTAGAGATCCACCTGCCTCTGCCTTCTGAGTGTTGGGATTAAAGGTGTGTGCCACCACCGTCCTGCCCTGTTTGTCTTAATTATTATTTTTATTTAAGTTAGAAACAAGCTTGTTTCACATGTCAATCCCAGCTCCCTCTCCCTCTCCTCCTCCCCCACCCTCCCCACCAGGCCCCCCAGCCCTGTTTGTCTTTTTAAAGCTATCATTTGAGAAGCCTGCTGTTCAGGCCAACACTTTCACCCAGAGTACCAGTTACTTAACATTGGTTTTAGAGGCTGGAGAGATGGCTGCTCCTCCAGAAGACTCAGATTCGATTCCAAGAACCTACATAGTGACTCACAGCTGTCTATGACTTGAGTCTCAGGAGATCTGCACCCTCCTTTGGCACCACATACATGGGGTGCAAGGAATATATGCGTGCAAAATACCTGTACACATAAAGAAAATAAAATCTCTAAAGTTTTGTTTTCAAAATCCTCACTTTAAAATCCCATCCCTGGGGAGACAGCTGTCCATAAAAGTGCCACATAAGCATGAGGACCTGGGTTCCATTCCTATTCACCTGGCAAGCTGGACACTGTGCCGAACACTTGTGGGGAGGGCACAGTACAGGAGGATCCCATGGGGCCCTGGCTAGGCAACACAGCCTGATTAGTGAGAGACCTTGCCTTGAAAAACAAGGTAGATGTCTCCTGAGGAATGATGCTTGAGGTTGACCCCTGACCTCCACACACCGATGCATACATGCACCTGCACCCTCCCATGTCTGCGTACTCACACAAACACCCACAGACACGCACATTCACGTAAAGCACCGTGGGGTCTTTCGTTTGTTTGTGTTTGTGGGAGGTGTTATTTTGTTTGATTTTTGAGACAGGGTCTAACTATGTAGCCCAGGTTGGCCTGGTACTTGCTTTGGTGTCCAAGGTGGCCCTCTATATTCACAGTAGCCTCCCTGCTATGGAATCCAGATGTGCACCGCCACACCTGTTCTGAGCGGCGACAGTTGTAGAGTCCACTTACCATAAGCAAGTGGTCATGTGTGCTCCCAACGCCATGGTGCAGAGCCCAGCAGTTACTAAGACATTCCTGCCCTCACTTTGCTTTGGGCTCCAGGGAGGGGTCTGTGCATCCCATTGTGCTCACAACCCCCACCTCCTAGAGCCCGGGCCTTCTGAGGCTAGCCTGCTCTCTCTTCCCCTGGAAACACCCTATTGGCTCATGTCCTTTCCCAGCTGTGCCCCACCTCTGTCCCAGCCTGCTCCATGGTCCCCAGACTAGTGGAGAGAGTCTTGTGTTCCTGTGTCCCAGCTCTTCTGTGAGGAAAGCATGTTGTCCAAGGAGCATATCCTATCTCCGTGTCTCCCTCCCTGGTGCAGTCTCTTAGCAAGACTCCCCTGTGGAGCCAGTAACCCTAAGCCCCTTCGTAACTGCATGTCTCACCTCTTCAGGTTCCTCGCTATTCTAACCCTCACTCTCTCTCCTGGAAGGACTTGCTGGGGCCTGACTCCATGGTCAGCATCCTGGTGCCCGGGAGCTCTCTCTCTCTTCTCCTCCTGCCTTTGGTTTGCCCTACCCTTTTCCTCTTCCTTTCCCTTTCCCCCTCCTCTCTCTCCTCCTCCTAACATTACTTGCCTCATGAACTTTCTCTCACACCTCTTTCCCTGCAGCATCCACCTCAGAGCACCATGAGGAGACCTTGGGAATAGGAACAACCTCTCTGGAGGCCCGGGTGTACTTGTTGGCTGGTGAGTGGGGAGCTGGGATCCTGAGGTGGGAGTTTCGTGGAGACTGAGACCTGGGGTTTTATTTTCTATTATTTGGCAAGCTGAAGTGGAAGATGGAGAACTGAAGATGAAGCCTGAGAACTGGGTAAAGCCTCCCCGAGGGGTTCTGAGAGGGGACCACCAGGCCCCAGGCTGGTTTGCTGGGTGCCACCTGCTTGGTGTTTCCTCCTTGCTTGTTGAGTGCTTACTCCTGTGTGCTCCTAGTGATGATCATCGCCCTCTCCCCCTTTTGTTGATTATTTTCCTGAGACAGGATTTCTCTGTGAAGCCCTGGCCGTCCTAGAACTCACTCTGTAGACCAGGCTGATCTTGAACTCACAGAGATCTGTCTGCCTCTGGCTTCTGAATGCTGGAATTAAAGTCGTGCGCCACCACCTCCTAGCTCCCGCTTCTACTTCTAAATGCTCGTTTTGTTTGTGTGAGTCTGTGTGTATCTGTGCCTGTGTGTATCTGTGTCTGTTTGTGAGTCTGTGTGTGCCAGTCTCTGTGTGTGTGTTTGTGTGTGTGAGTTTGTGTGAGTCTGTGTATGAGTGTGTATGTCTCTGTGTGTGTTTGTGTATGAGTCTGTGTGTGCCAGTCTGTGTGTGTGTGAGTTTGTGTGAGTCTGTGTATGAATATGTGTGTCTCTGTGTGTGAGTCAGTGTGTGTGTGAGTCTATGTCTGTGTATGAGTGTGTGTGTTTGTGTGTGTGAGTTTGTGTGAGTCTGTGTCTGTGTATGAGTCTGTGTGTCTCTGTATGAGTGTGTGGGTCAGTGTGTGTGTGAGTCTGTGTCTGTGTATGAGTCTGTGTGTGAGTCAGTGCATGTGTGTCTGTGTATGAGTGTGTGTGTGTCTCTGTGTGAGTCTGTGTATGAATGTGTGTGTCTCTGTGTGTGAGTCTGTGTGTGCCGGTCTCTGTGTGTGCGTGCACACACACATCCTGGTGCCACAGCGTGTGTATGGAGGTCAGAGGACACCTTGCAAGAGTCTGTTTGAGTCTCCCAGCTTAGGAATTGAGCTCAGGTTCTTAGGCTTTGTGGCAGGCACCTTTACCCACTGTGCCTCACATCCTCTTGAAATAGGTTTCATTCTGTGGGGTTTGTGGCACAATATCAAAAAGAAGGATCTAGAAGGATCCTGTCTCCCCGACTGCCATTTATCCCCTGATGTAGCTTCTTGTTCATCTACACAAGATGTGTGTCCATGATTTTTTTGTTTTGCTTTTGTTTTTCTTTAGCCCAGATGTTAATATAATGATGCTCTGTACCTTGCTTTTATGGTTGAACATACATCTTTTTGTTTGTTTTTTGAGACAGGGTTTCTCTGTTTAGCCCTGGCTGTCCTAGAACTTGTTCTGTAGACCAGGATGGCCTTGAACTCACAGAGATCCACCTGTCCCTGCCTTCTGAATGTTGGGATTAAAGGCATGTGCCACCAATGCCCAGCTTGAATATATATCTTTAACATCACTTTATATAAACTTTAGAACCTAGCCTACTTCCATTTGGAAATTGCTTACAGGTTTTAGTTCAACCCTGGAAGACTTGACTTTATACTTTTATGCTGTTGAGGGCATTGTACCCAAGAATTTCAAATGCATTTGCTTACATCTTCCTATTGAATGGCTATTCTTTTAAAACTCATGTAACTGAGGTGACAGAAAATGAATCGTCTTCTTCCACACCAAGGTCGTTTTCCAGGGAAGCTAAAGTTTTGTATTCAAGGCCATTCTAGAAGTCAGAGAGGGGCCTGAGCAATGTATGAGCAAGATTATATTTTTGTTCATTTTTCAAAAATAAGACATTCTTGTGTTCTTTCCCCCCAAAAGATCATCCAGATGGCACAGGCTTTAGGCCCTGTGAGCTGTGTTTCAGTCCTGTTTCCTCATGGCCCCTCAGCCCTTCACTTCCTTCATTTGAGGAGTTCTCTGGTGTGGCCTTGCCTCCTGTCTCTGTGGAGACACATCTCGGCACTTAACCGAGTGGACACACTCATCGTGGCACTCCGCTTGGTGTTACTGCTGTTGGCTTTCCTTGTTTGTGAAAGGCAGGGTGTTACAATCCTGCTCTGGACATTTCCTCGCTCATATAACAGGGTCATTCATGCCGGTGTAGAAGACTCTTCCTCCTTTTGGTAGCCACTATGTAGTCTATTGCATGACTACCCCATACTTTAGTCATTTATTTCCCAACTGACGGACATTTCGGTTATTTCCATCTTCTGTAATTCACAGTTTGGTAGCTGATAGCCATTTATGTATGCTGCTTTGGATGGGTGCCAGTAACACTGCAGGGCAAATGCCTGTATTTGTGTTTTCACCCAGGGTGGCTAGGTCAAAGGGCGGCAGCAGAGAGGCTCTCCTAGTGACTGTGATGTTGTCCTCCCTGGAGGCCTCCCTGCCAGTCAGGGAGGAGGTCCCCTGCTCCATGAACACATCTTTCAGGTTGTTTGTGTTGGCAATGTAATGGATGGATGGAAGACTATGTTTTACCTCTGTGTTCTGTTGAGTTCCTCGTCCTGTGTTTAGAGGCTGTGTGCTTTTCTTCATCTGAACGTCTCTGTTCAGATTATCCCCCCATCATTCTCTCTCTTAGTTTGGTGTCTGTTGCTGTAATACACGCCATCACCAAGAGCAGCCTGGAGAAGAAAGGGTCTGTTTTATCTTACAGCTTACACCATGAAGGGAAGTCAGGGCAGGAGCTCATGCAGAGCCCATGGAGGAATGCTGGTTACTGGCTCGCTTCTCATGGCTTGTGCAACCTGCTTTCTAAAAGAACCCAGCACCACCTGCTCTGGAGTGGCATGGCTGACTCACAGTGGCCTGGGCCCACTCACATCAGTAACCAAGAAAATGTCCCATAGACTTGCCCACAGGCCAATCTGATGGAGACAATTCCTCAGTTGACAGCCCTCTTCCCAGCGAGTCTAGCTTGTGTCAGGTTGACAAAAAACTAAAAATTGTGCTCACACTTGTGTGCTCACTTGCCCGCTTGTATTCTTTCTCTCTCCTTTTTCATGTGTGTTAGTTTCAAGTAGCCCAGGTTGCCTTTGACTGAACGAACACTGCTGTGCTGGGATTACAGCTAATGCCCTATATTTAGGCGTGTCTCAGCTTTTGGGAACTAGCGGGATAGGAGATAGCGCCAAGGTGGTTTCATGACGGTTTCTACCGTGCTCTGGAGATGGGTTGGTAGAATGCTCAGTTCATGTGCATGAAACTCTAGGTTCAGTACTCAGTGCTGCTGCATAGCAGGGTGTGGTGGCTCATGCCTGTAACTGGGAGGTGGAGGAAGAAGGATCTGAGGTTTAAGGTCATGTGACTTCAGCTACATAGTGAGTTTGAGACAAGAGAATTAATCTTATTTGTACAGGTCATTTTATTTGTGTGTGGGTATTTTGTTTTCATGTTTGTCTGTGTACCATATGTTTGTCTATGTACTGTGTGTGTGTGACTGGTGCTTGAAGAGGCCAGGAAAAGGTGTCTGATCCCAGGGGACTGGAGTTACAGGCCACTTTGAGCCACCATGTGGGTGCTGGGAATCAAACCTGGGTCCTTTGGAAGACCAGCCAGTGTTCTTAGCCACCAAGCAAACTCTCCAGCTGTGCACATCCAGTCTTTTTTTTTTTTAATCCCTCAGGAACACCTCAGACTTGTATTCAGTTTTTTTTTTTACCTGCCTGCCTGCCTTCTCTTGTGTGAGAGAGTTTTTTAACCTTACTGGGCCCTTCTGTCCCTTACTGTCTTCTTCCCCTCAGTGGGGATCAGCCTGGCACCCTGGCCCCAAGCTTCATCTGAGGTGTGTATATTTCTGGTGTTCATTCTTGGGTTTTTCTGTTCTGTGAGACTATTATGAGTACTTTCATCCTGGTTCCTACCTGGTTACTGCATAGAAATATTGGTTTCTGTTGTGTTAACTTTGAACCCAGTGGCCATACTGAACTCTTCTATTAGTGCTAATAATAGTGTCTAAATTATCCGGGCAGTGGTGGCGCATGCCTTTAACCCCAGCACTTGGGAGGCAGTGGTAGGTGGATCTCAGTGAGTTGGAGACCAGCCTGGTCTATAGAGTGAATTCCAGGACATCCAGGACTGTTACACAGAGAAACTCTATCTCCAAAAACCAAAACAAACAAATCAAAGCAAACAAACAAAATGTCTCAGCTGCTTGGGAGCTCCCATCTCAAAACTCATATTGGTGACTATAGATAGTTTATCTATCCTGATTTATAGTTTCAACCTCTTGGTTTTTTGTGTGCTGTCTAGAACTCTTAGAGCAATGTGGATAATAGACACCATAATGAAGTGGACACCACTGTCTTGTTCCTGACTGTAATGGGGATTGCTTTCGAAGCTTTACTTATGTCTGTGTATATGTGTTCCTGCTTGTTGGTGTGTGTGCCACATGTATGCAGGTGCCTTCAGAGGCCAGAATAGAACACTGGATCCCCCGGAACTAGAGTTACAGGTGGTTGTAAGCCATCCAACATGGTTGCTGGGAACCTCTGAGCCATGTCTCCAGCCCCTGTAATTGGAATTCCCTACTATTTTGTAATTATAGAAGGCTTGTTTAAGGAAATATCAGTCTATTAAGTAAACTCAGTGCTGAACATTTCTGTTGCCTCTTCTGTGCTGTGGGTAACCAGGTTGGCTGTGCCCTTTGGATCTGTTAGTCACCTCTTCCTGTCTTCCTTGGACTTTCAGCAGCCCAGAGGCTCTTCAGTTCTTGGTGTGGGGGGTTCCCATTGTCCAGTGCCAGGCTGTTTTGATAACTGAGTCAATGAACAAATAGGTGAATGCACGAACAAATGAATGTTCTCTCTCTCCTCTGCCTTGACTGCAGGGGAGGGGATTGCACACAGGCCAGGATGTAGAGGCTGAGTGATTGGGCTTTTCCCCCTCAGGAGCTTTTCTTCCTTCCTTCTTTCCTTCCTTCCTTCCTTCCTTCTATGTTTTTTTTTTTAACTATAGCTTTTTTTTATATATATATCGCTCTGCCTGCATATATGCCTGCTGTCCAGAAAAGAACACCAGATTTCATTATATATGGTTGTGAGCCACCATATGGTTGCTGGGACTTGAACTCAGGTCCTCTGGAAAAGTAGCCAGTGCTCTTAACCTCTGAGCCATCAGTCCTCAGGAGCTTTTCTAAGGGACATGGACAGAGGGTGAAATATGCTGAGAGGCCAGCAAAGGTGCCTTTTGATCCCACATGCTCACTGAGCCCCCAAACCTGGTCCTCACCTGGGGACGGGTGCCTCAGTGGGACTGGGCCCTGTGGTTTGCAGAGACGGTGAGGATGGAATGTCTTGCCCAGCACCAACCATGGCATTTTCCAGTCTCACAGCAGCAGCTGAAACTGTAGGTTGGGAGTGTGATGCCTGTAGAGGGTATGATATGCTAAGAAACCGTGAGCTAGATGCAGGGCCACAGGGACCCTCAGGGCTGGAGAACCCGGGTATTCAGTCAGGCCTGGTACGTGAGCAGCGTGGCTGTGCAAGGCGCAGCTCAACTTACGGGGGTGTATACCAGTGCTCAGAAGGCGGAGACAGGAGGATTGACTTAACTTTCAGGCTAGCCTGACCTACATTGTAAGTTTAGGGCTCATTCAAGGCCAGAGCCGAAGAGGCACACAGCAAAACCCTGTCTCAAAACACTAAAGCCACTAACAACAAAAGAATAGAATTTAAGTGGTGTCTGGGGATTTCAGATTTCAGTATCCACGGCTCTAATCTTTGAGGATGGAAGTTTCTGGCATTTGGGGCTCTAGATTTTGATTTTTGGGGATTCTGCATTTGAGATTATGACATTCAGGATTGTGACTGGCACAGCATGGAAGCTCACAGAGGGGCATTGCCAGCCATCGCTTCTGGGTTGCTCTGCCCCTCACCCATGACCTCTAATTTCAGGTCTGAGGCTGGCCCTGGGTCCCTGCTTCCAGAAACCATGGCAGAGAGCAGCGACGCCGCGCTGTCAGTAGCCGAGTGGCTTCGGGCGCTGCACCTGGAGCAGTACACGACACTCTTTGAGCAGCACGGACTGATTTGGGCCACCGAATGCCAAGGCCTCAGCGATACCAGACTTTTAGACATGGGCATGCACCTCCCTGGCCACCGCCGCCGTATCCTGGCTGGTCTACTCCGTGCCCACGCACCCCCGGCCCCTGTGCCCCGCCCTGCCCCACGGCCTGTGCCCATGAAGCGACACATCTTCCGCTCACCACCTGTGCCCGTCACTCCGCCGGAACCGCCGCCCACAGCTGGAGAGGATGAAGGGCTACCTGCTGCTCCGCCTATTCCGCCCCGAAGGAGCTGCCTCCCGCCCGCCTGCTTCACTCCCCCATCCACAGCCTCCCCGGACCCTGTGCTGCCCCCACTGCCTGCCAAGCGACACTCGGTAGAATCTAGTGTTCCTCCTGTACCTCCTCGTACCGGACCCCCCTACCCACAGGCCCGGTGAGTGACATCACTGCTGCTGGGCGGAGGAGCCAGGGCTGGAGGAATGACTCTGACTGCTAGTGGGGACACAAGCTTAGAGAGTATGGCAGGGAGGTGTGGACCCGAGGATGGCTGGGGCTTAAGGATACCGGGATATGTGCAGAGAGGTAGGGGAGCCACAGTGTGCCCCCTCCCTCTAAGTCTCTGCGAACAAATGGGTGGTGCCGCCATCACTGAGGTTGGCCTAGTACCAGAAGAAAGTTTGGGAGGCATCTCAGTTCATTGGGGCACCTGTGAGATGCTGTGGGGGATCAGGTGATGTGTGGAGAAAGCTAAGCCCAGGGATGATGGCTCAGATGTGGGGGCGGGGTGGGCTTCTGTCTGTCATGCTACTCCCCACACCCAGGCTGTGCTGGACACATCTCACCAAATCCCAGGACCTCTCCCTCCTCTTCGGAATCCTTCTCCTCTCCCTAGCTCCTCTCCCCCTCGCTTTCCTGAGCTTTTTCCTCTTACAGTGGACATACCACTTAATCTTCTACCAGCCATTTGCACCGTGCCAGTGGAAAAGCCTCCAAAGACAGGGCTGCCGTATGTTTGGGGGTAATGACATTCCAGTATTCCATTGGACTTTCTTTTCTGAAGGGATGTGCTGAGAGACGTCTCTTGTCCTCGTCACTGCTGGACAGTGTTGGGGATCCCATTGATCCCTTCAGCAAGCCTTCTGTGGAGGGTGGGGATTGTGTTCTGATTTCAAGCTGGGTAACTGAGGCCTAGTCATGGGGAAGGACCAGCTGGGTGCATGCAGAAACACACTGGGGGGTGGACGCTCCTGTGGGGAAAGTCTGTGAGGTGCTCTCCGTCTACAGTGAGCCAGGGGACCTTCTGGTGCAAGCCAGGTCTGAGGTTATGAGATTCAGGGTTCTTGGTGCTATTTTACCCTCTAGTGGCCATTCTCCTGCACGCAGGAGAAACTTTTATTTGAGAGGCGGCCATAGCAGATTCAGAGTTGCTGGAATTCAGAGTACCCTGAACTCACCATTCCACACCCCATCTCTCCTTCTTTCTCCCAACCAGGGTCACCCTCTGGAGGTGCTTTTGGAGGGGAGAGGTCTTAAGAAGAGGCCAGTGGGAATAATTCATCTGGGATAGGATTTTAGGCTATAGAGCAAGGTGTAGGCAAATCCGGAAAAGCAAGGAGGGTTCTTGCCCTCTGCCCTCTGCCCTCGGGACCTGATGCCCTATCTGAACTATTCGGGCCTTATGTAGTTCTCCTGACACTTATACCTGTTTAGGGAACTTTCAGGGTAGAATAGAAATTGTATTCTCAGTCCAGGGCTGAGACATAGGGCCCCACTCTGAGAGCTAGTCTGAACATAGGTACTTGGCCAACAGATGGGGAAGTTAAGGCCCCTAAGTAAAACATCTGGCCCCGCAGTAGTCACGGGGTGGGGGACCATAAATGGTGTAGTACTTTCAGAGAATCTGTGTGCATCCTCTGTGCTTTTTTGCTTTGTTTTGTCTTTTGTTTTTCTGTGCTTTAGGGATCAAACTCAGGGCCATGCACATGCTAGGCCTGTCCCCTGCCCCATGTCTTGTACTGCAAATCATCTGGATGTTACTTACAACGCCAAATACACTATGAATGCTGTGCAGATAACTATCATACTGGATTGGTTAGGGAATAGGGACGAGACAAAAATCTACATGTTTTCAGATAGATGTGGGTTTGCCGCTCATATTTTGATCTGCAGTTTATTGAATCCATGGATGTGGAACATTAGGTTGCAAAGAACCTTCTTTGATTGCCACAGTTTGGGACCATTCTTTAGGGCAGAGTGGTGCCAGTCCTGATGTCCTGTGCCCTGGGGTGTAGCATTAGGAGTCATGGGCACCTGTGGTCCTCAGCTCATGGATAGGCAAAGTCTTTTTTTTTTTTTAATTTGTATCTTATGTGTATGGGTATTTTGACTGTCTGCCTGTCTATATACTACATGTATAGGCACACATATACACATTTGGCCAGCTGTCAGGGTGGTAGCTTGTCTGCATATTTGCATATTTGTGCTGGATCTGCAGGTAGCCATGCTTGATCCTAATAGGTGCAGGGGTGCAGGGGTGAGGGTATCTGTGCAGTTTCAGTGGTGATAGACCCTGCGTGTGTGAGCTCATCAGGGCTGAGTATACACATATATGTGCTGTGGGGGTTGCAGTGCTAGGCTGTGTTGTTAATAGTGTGCAGATGCTGTTTGGGTAAGTGAATCGGCACATTTATTGTTTGTGTACTGTCAAGTGTGAGTCACTGTGCACATATGTGTGTCCATATGCTGCCAAGAGCCTGAGCCTGTTAGAATGCCATCTCTCCGAGAGCCCTGGGATCTTTGTCAATTTCTTTTACTCTTGAATCCTCAAACTCTGGCAAGGTTGGGAATATAATAGGCCCTTTGTACATGTCACGGAGGTGAAAGGTCAGTGCTGCCAGGAGCTTTCACACTGCAGGCTCTGAGCTTAGGTGCCTGGAGATGGTGTGAGCTGGCCTCAGCCTGTACTAGCCATAGACCAAAAGGGCCCTGAGCTCATCACTCCCATCCTTCTCCCTAATTCATACCATCCCACCCGTTGTGGGAAGGAGATGCTGTCAGCGGAGGAGCTGGGGGGGAGTGAGGAGTTGATAGATAGGATCCAAGGCTACAGGGAAAGGTGTAAACGCAGCAGGAAACAAGCAAGGGTGGGGCTCCCTCCCCTCTGCCTGGCCAGGCTGAGGGCTTCCGAAACCAGGCTCACATGTGGGCCCCACAAGACCCCACTTTACCTCCGTATCTGATATAGTCTGCTATTTCAGTCTGTGGCCGTGAACTGACCGACCCAAAGACATCCAGCCCTGGATGGGGAGCCAGCATTCCGATCCTGCCTTCTGACCTTGTCCCTGTCCACTCAGGTGTCAGACAAACCCCTCAGAACTGGCATCTCTGAGTCACCGAGGAATCATTTCTGATCAAGGGTCCCAGAGTCACTCCACAGAGCCCCTTCCAATTCTCTGTGGGTCTTGATCTCCTTCTTTGGTACTTGGATGACTTGAGAAAGTTGAGGGAAGGAAGTACTTGCCCAGAGTGGGCAGCTACCGGCTGGAGCCATACCTTGCTAGGTTTCTCTTTTGTGCTTTGAATGCCTTGCAGCCCAGCCAATCCTTGGCCTTCCTGGAGGCTGATCACCTGTTGCTGGGGCAGAAATCCTTCCCTTTGGAGAGCCTGTTTTGCAGCTTCTTTGGGCGTCCTTCAGCATGTGGGGACTAGGAAATCCACCATAAGGGCTAGCCAGAGTCAGGGCTTCCTGGACATTCACTCTGTGAGGCCTCAGGGGACTAACAGACAGGGCTAGTTGTCCCATTTTAGTTCAGACGGACTGGTGTGGCCTGAGGGGCGGGGAGGAAGTATCTGCCCCAGGGGATTATGGGTGACTTTTCTCTCTTAGTGTTTTCAGGAAGTGTGCTGGCCCAGACTGAAGGCGGTAGGGATAGGAGAGGCGGAGAGCAGGAAACAAAGACTGGGACTGGGGACACACACACACACACACACACACACACACACACACACACACACACACACACTCTCTCTCTCTCTCTCTCTCTCTCTCTCTCTCTCAACAGATTTATGCTTATATTCAGAAATGCACACATACTTAGAGAAGTGATTTACACACATTCAGAGACACCACCTATAGGTGTGCAAAGACATACCTAGGGTTCACCTCCAAGGGAACAGGACACAGGCTCAGCTGGCAACAGGGACTCAGCCACATAGGCTTCCAGGTGCAGACACAGGCCGCCTGGGCAGGCACTGGTGCACCTGACTGGAGTCTCAGGCGTTCTTAGGCCCGGGATTCAGCAGGCCTCTGAGGGTGAGTGAGGGCAGGTGGGAGGGCTGGGAGGACCAGAGTCCCTCTTTGTCTGGCTGTCCACTGTCTAAGCAGCTTTCCCTGGGTGATCTGCTGCCTCTTGGTTTGCTCAGAATTTTTTTTCTCTGTCCTTTTCTAATATATCCCTCCTTCCTTCTCTCTGGGTTTTCCAGGTTAGGGTCTCCCCCTCAGCCTCTCCTGGATCCACTGGGACCCCAGTACCTGTTTTCTGGTCCTTTGTCAGACTGTCACCAACCTGCCGTGTGTGTGTGTGTGTGTGTGTGTGTGTGAGTGAGTGTGTGTTTGTGTGTGAGTGTGTGTATGTGTGTGTGTATCTTTGGTCCTCTGGTGCCCACCCATATGTCTAAACTCCTTGCCCCCAGCCCAAGGGGACAGGGACCTACCTGCAGAGAGGGCTGGCACTTCATTTGCCAGGGTTGTTAATTGGTAGGTACATGTTGAGTGTGAGGTTGTCCTCCCGTCCTTCTGGTTATGAGGAATCCCTAATGAACCCAGCACCCCTCGGGTCACTAGGGGCACAGAATGACCTCTACTTTGGACTGGGTACCAGAAGCAGTTGGGGAGGGATCCTGAAACTGTCTGAAAAGCTCACCAAGAGATGGCCTGGTCTTCTTGTCCTCAGGGAGAAAGTAGGACCAAACCCAGGAGGTTCACAGGGCAGACTGGCAGAGAGATGCTCTGCGCCTCTGGTCCACCACAGCAGGACTGTCTGTGGGGCAGCTCAGCAGAGGTCAGGCAGTGGAGTGGTATAGAGGGTCCTGTGGACTGTGTGAGCTAAAGGGGGGTGTGCTTGGGTGGGTTTCCTGGAGGGAGAAGTGTGTTCTAAACACAAGGGAATTGCTGCTTTTTGGTCGTTCCATGTAGAAAGCCCCAGCAGAAGCCTAGCCCACAGCATTACTTAGCAAGGGGAGCCCCTGGCCCAGGAAGAAGTGCCCTGGGGCCTTAGTTGGGTGCTGAATTTGAATCAGGTGCTATTGGGGGCTGCAGCCTAGAGCAGGATGCTGGCAGCGTGGCTGTTGGGGACAGCCCTTGTGTTAAGTGACGCATAGGCTGCAGATGTCCTTCGTAGCAAGGGGAGCCTGCAAGAACTTGGTGCACTGTGG